CCAGGCAGGATTTCCTCACAGAACCCTCTGTCAGAGCGTTTCCTAGAGCAGCAGGTGGAAGGGCTGCCAGGCGTGAACACGTGGGCCCTGCACGCCTCCTCCAGAGCGCTTTTCCTCCTTCCCTCGCTGCTTTGCGCCCTTCCTCACCATTCCCTGGCATTTACGCTCCCAGGTCGGGCAGATAAAGGAAGGCAGAGAGGAGAAATTAAGAGGCTCAGGCATAAGGCAGTGAGTGGCGGGGGGGCACAGACACGATTCCCAGAAAAAGGTTCCCTGTGCCCGCTGGGGGGCGGCCAAGCCTGGAGCCTGCTCCGTGGCTGGGTAGCAGCTAGGCCTTTCCCTGCGTGCCATGCTGGCCTGGAGCTGGGTTCAGCCTCAGCTTTAGCTCCCGTCCATACCTGAGTGACAGCAATCCCTCGGCCTCCTCTGCTCCGCTTCCTCATGGTGGAGAACCTCGAGCCGGCATCTGTACCGTCCTGCACCTCGGTGGGAGTGGGACAGCCACTGAACCAGCAGCTTCTTCCTCGCTGTATTCCATGGCTGCTCGACAGCTCTTTCCTCCCCAGGGCTGGGAAAGAAGGAAATTAAACTGGTGTCAGGGGCCACCTCTGGGATGTGGGCAGGTAGGTTGGAGCCTCCGGGGCTGGCAGCGTGAGGCTTCGTGCCAGCTGGCCTCGGCGTTTCATCCCCGCGGGACGGGAGGACCGCTGCGAGGTTTACGCAGGCTGAGAGGTGACAATTTTCCATGTGCCCGCAGCCTCCTGCGCCCGTCATCCCCTTCCTGTGTCACCCAGGCATAGCTCTTCATCGCCTGGAGCCGCCCAGGGCTTGGCAGCAGTTGCCCATCTCGCCCATAAATCCTCAGCACGCGTCTTCCCCTTGGCGAGTGCCATCTGTTTCCATGGCAAAGGATGGTTGGCGTTATGGTCATTCACAAGCCAGTCGGGATAGAAATTTACTTCCTGCAGAATCGCCTCTCCCTGTGGAATTGTAATGAGGACTCCAGGGAGACACGGTGGGAAGGATAGAATCCATGTCAGCGAGCTTTTCTTGCTTTTTTAGCGTTCAGTCCCTTTTCCACACATCATCAGGCTTCGACGTGAAGTAGCCTGGGAGCTCCTACCCGTTCTGGTCCTACGAGGGGCTGGCACATCCCTGGAGCCACCTCAGAGGGGCTGGAGCCTCTGCGTGTGGAGGGTCCCTGTCCGGAAAGAGCTCGTGTGCCCCCTTCGGCAGCCCCCAGCTGCTGGAGCCCTCCCTACCCAGCGCAGCAGAGCCCATTGCGTGAACCTGCACCCGCCGATGCAGGTTCTGCCCCTGCGGAGTCGGGCTGGTACCGGAGCTCGGGCAGCAGGCTCAGAAATCCCAGCCTGGGCTGGGAGCCACGTGCCAGGCACCTGCACGGCTGCTCCCGGCCTCTGAAACCTGCTC